CAAATCAAGAAAGATATCCTTAAAATCGAGACGTGCCTCGTAATCCTTCTTAAACCTTTCAAAACCGATGACCTTGACGCTGATGATCGACAAAAGGGAGACACGACGACTTAAAACATCAGTTGATTGGTTCTCCACGCCCATCTTGCATCTTAAAACAATCGAATAGGCTTGCAAATATTCAATCCAACGACCATGCCTAGAGCTCAATCTCTTCTGGAAGTTAAGGTAATAGAGGGCCTCGTGGTCTGAAAAAAGAAAAAAACTCCTAGGGTAACAGATAGTGGCGCCAATAGTGCAAAACCTGCACAACCGCAACAATTCCTTATTCTAAGTTGAGTACCGTTGTTTGGCCTCATTTAACTTCTCACTGAAGTAGGCAACAAGGTGACAATCTTGACTCAAGACTCCGTTGATACCTACCCCGAAAGCATTACACTCGACCTCAAGACTTTGGAAAAATCGGGAAGACACATGACATGAGCCTTTGTCATTTGCTTCTTGACCAACTTAAAGGCCTTAGCAGCCTCTTGTATCCAATGAAACTCCCCTTTCTTCATGTACTCCGCAATAGACGCTATAATAGTACTAAACCCCTTGATAAAGCGACGGTAAAATGCAGTTAAGCCATGAAAGCTCTTGACGTCATGAATAGTCTTAGGTTCAGGCCAGTCAAGAATCGCTTGAATCTTGGTAGGGTCAGCAGATACCCTTGTCGAAGAGACATTGAATCCTAGAAAAACGACTGTATCGGTGAAGAAAGAGCATTTCTTGACGTTAGCATACAAATTAGTTGCACGTAGGGTAGAACAAACTTGTGTGAGATGGTCACGGTGTTGCTCCTTAGTCTTATTATAGATGAGTCTACTCGCCCATGAAAGATCGAAGAGTTTGTGTCATTACCCGCATAAAGGTACTCGGCGCGTTGCTTAGCCCAAAAGGCATGACCAGTGATTCACAAAGGCCATCTTTCGTTTTAAAGGCGGTCTTCCACTCATCACCTGGGCGGATTCTAATTTGATGGTATCCAGTCTTCAAATCAATATTCGAAAAGATTGTAGCACCAACCATCATATCTAGCATATTGTCGAGTCTAGGAATGGGAAAATGATACTTCACCGTGATCCTATTGTTGGCGCGACTATCCACACACATTCTCCAAATACCATCCTTCTTGGGGGTCAACAGCATGGGAACTGCACAAGGGCTTAAACTCTCACGAATGAGCCCCTTGTAAAAGAGTTCATCTACTTACCTCTAGAGTTCAGCATGCTCAATATGATTCATCCTGTAATGAGGCAAATTTGGAAGGAATGCCCCCAGGACGAAATCTATGGCATGCTGAATGTCCTGTAGGGGAGGTAATTCATCAAGTAGGTCCTCCGAGAATACATCCCAAAACTCTTGAAGAAATGACTGAACTGCAGCAAGGCTCTCTATTGCGGAGTTCAATGGAACCTCCAAAAAGATAACAGTGAACACCATTGAGTCACTAACAAGTAAGCGCTCAAACTCCGTAGGGCTAATGATATGCAACCCTTTTCGTTCCACACTTTTCTTTGTTTCGTGTGAGCTAACAGGTTTTGGGAGTAGTGGGTTAAGGTAAATCTTCTTTTCATTAAACACGAAAGACAGAAATTTGATCGACTATAGATGGTTACATCTAGGTCAAATAATCAAGGTCGTTCCAAAATGATGTGCCAACATCCATCGAAATGACGTCACACCATATATGGTCCTTATACTCGAGGAACTGGATAGGGACTAGACAACGCTCCTTGATAACTATAGAAGAGGTATCAACCTAAGAGACACTATACAGCCGAGGGTGAGGAACTGGCTTTAACCCAAGACGAGATACAATAGCCATCGAAACCGCATTAATGCAGCTATCACTATCCACAATAACTTTACAGCCCTTATTATAGATCTTGATATAAGTATGGAAGATGGCATGACGACGCCAATCATCGGAATCCTTGGCCTGGGTAAGAATACAACGAATGACACCGACTCTAGGTGTAAAAGGGGTAAGGGGACCGGTCTGAATGCAACCTAAGAAGGTATCTTTACTATCCTCCAAGTCATCAAACTTTTAAAACTTAGGTTCATAAATCTGGTCCTCTAATGGCTCGTCAACTATGCCTTCATGTTCTTCCAGAAATAGGGCGCGGCTAGGACACTTAAATAAAATGTGACCAAAACCCTTATAGTTGAAACATTGCAAACGGGAGGACGCCCTTGAAGCCTCAAGACCTTTACCTTTACTATTCGACGCAGGGATAGCATTACAAGGAAGAGGCCCTAGGATAGACTTAGGGGATGCAGCGGATACAAAAAATGTTGTAGTGCGGTGTCACTACGAGTTCTATACGGCGTCCTAGTCACTAACTCATAATCCCGAACGAAGGAGTAGGCGTAATCAAGAGTGGTGACACTCCTAAGGACAAGCTCACGTCTAAGATCATCCCTTAGACCTTGTCTAATCCTACTCAAGGTCATGACCTCATCCTCAACGACCTGATATCTCATTCGAAACTCATCAAACTGAGCAACGAACTCGGTCACAAGTCGATTACCTTGCGTAAGTGCATTTCATTGATCCAACAAGTTACCCATATAAGATTGAGGTAAGTACTTATCTTGAAGGTGATGCTTCATTTCATCCCAGCTTCCAACAGGGGGAGCACGACGTCTTTCTAGGAGACCCTCAACACTTTCCCAAAAGAGTTGAGCAGTGCCAGTTAATTTCAGACTAGCAAATTGTACTCTCCGATCTTCCGGGACCCTATACCAGGTAAAGAAGCAATCCATATCTCTAACTCATTGATTAAATACACTAGAATCTAGACAACCATCAAATGTAGGTGCATCTAACTTAATATATCAAAACAGACGCTCCTTGTGGCGAGGGGGAGACTGTGTACCATGACGGTGATGTTCCCGCTCTTGTCGACGAACCTGATTTTCATCCCTACGATCATGTCTGGCATGGGGTCGACCACCTTGTGGACGACGATGAGGTTTATTAATGGACGCTTCAGAGTTTTCAGCTTTAGTCAAATATGGGATTGGATCAAGGGTGTTCAACCTAGCGGCTAGAGCTCTATTCTCCTCACGATTAGTAGCTACCTCCGTTTGGATAGCCGCTAATTGATTTTGTAATTGTGTTGACTGTCGGGTGAGAGCTTCAATTTGGGAAGGGTCCATGACAGGGGTATTAGAACTAGAGGTAGTAACGCGACCACTACGCAATTGCATATACAGTAACACTAGCTAAGTGAAGTACAATGAGAGATCACTAAACGAGTGCCAAAAGGGAAAAATAGCAATTTTAATTTTTATTCTGGTTATTTATTTTTTTATTCTTTTTGATTAACTTAAAAAATGGAATTACGTAAGTCCGAACTTGACAAGCTAATAATACTAATGCAAATAAAATGAAAAGCAAAGGTACAAACGACAGGCCTAATCACGTGGGGTAAACGGGGAAACAATGGGAATTAGTTCGCGAATTCCTATCAAGTGGGTTTAGGACTAAGATTATCCAAGTAGCAGCAACACAAAGAATTGAATGATGCAACTCTAAATAAAGCAATAGTATAAACTAAAAATTAATAAGAGCAATGACTCCATGAGTTCGGTTGGTCTGAGTTGTTACTTGTGGATTTGAGTCAACCTCTGTCCTATGCTCCGAGTCAAACATCTTCAACTTCTAAAATTACTCCAATTGCACCTAGTGAAGCAGCAAGATATTTATGTTGTGGTGACTATTCCTCTATTGCGGTGGCGGAAGCGTATGGGGCGAGAAGGACAGATATGGCAGTGAGCTTATTTTGTAACTGTTGATATCGGTGATGGCGTGAGTAGGCAGGTTGGTCTGCAATGATGACCGGTGTCAGCGATGGTAACGTGAGTGTCGGCGACGGAGGCGGCAGGAGTGCAGACAGCGACTGACACATATGACTAGGTTGGCGGTAGATATTGAGGCAGACGATGAAGATTTGCAGCTTTTGGCGATGGCTAAATCCGGCTCTGCTGCGTATATAATTTTGAGAGAAGTGTAGTGACCGTAGCTTTTATATGGTTGAGATGGTAGGGAAATATATATGTGTGTGGTGGGCATGTGGGTTGAAGATTGAAGGTGGCGTGAAGTAATAATGAGTGGTGGCTTGCTGGTAGTGATCGGAGTGAGAGAGAGGGAGAGGGCCAAGCCCATTACACAAGTCCATAAAAATAACCCAACTAAAATAAACCAAATAAAAGTCCAACTAAAATGAAATAAATAAACTGAATGTCACTAAAATAAATAAACTTGGTACTCACCTACATTCAAATACCCCAACATAAGCCACACACTTGAAGCGTATCTTCAAGATAAGCCACCCCAAACATGCTCTTAATCAATATGAAAGAATAGGTATCCAAACCTGAACATCAGTGGCTAAAATGTTTTCGAAGCATTTTCATTTTATTTGCCTTTATGATATGCTTAAAAACCTGTTATGATATGCATATTTAATAGTTTATAGAGGAGATTATATTTAAAACCAAGAAAAACCATATTTCATCAACTGGGAAAAGCATGTATAGCCACAGGCACACATCTAACTGCAGGTGTCCACCAAAATTAATTCGAGTTCCAATTATCCTCAAACAATCCATTAATTATAGTGAAATTACAAATCCATAACATCAAATGAATTCGGCAAACTCGATCTCCAGAAAATAAATAAAAGAGCAGCATAAAATATTCGGACCAACCATACACAATTTGAATCATCAATTTTAAATTGGATATCAAATATTAACTTTTAGCAAATATCAGATGTAATTTTCAATTTCAGACAATAATTCAAGAATGAATAGGAATTTATTTCAAAACGTCAATCCCCAAAACAAAACAGTAGTATCACATACTGATACGTACAAAATAAACTGAGTTGAAAAATCTTGAAACCGGACTTGTATATGAAATTTTACAAAAGCAAAGACCGTACCTTTTTGTAAAATTAATCTACAAAAATCCTTATCTTTACCTTCAGCTTCGGGTCGGGTATGTATCGAGAATACATATTACGAGGACTCCATTCCTTTCAAAGATTTACCGAATTAAGCCGGTTCCAATCTCACAAATGCAATTAACCATTGTCCAGAATCTCTCTAATAGAATCCCGTTTGTTTGTCTAGACTTGGAAAAAGATTAATCAATTTAACTTTAAACAAGTTTTATTTTAAGGTCGATTTTTCAAGATTAAGCCCCCGTAGTGCTCGGTATCCAAACCCATCCACTCTTTTAAACCGAATCTAATCAATTTGGTTCAATCGGTTCTGTTAGTAGATTTCGACTTTTAATCAAAATTGATTTTATTTTTAAAAGAAAAAATGTATGAGTTTTGGATCTATTTAAATTACAAGAATTAAAATAATTAAATAATTTTATATTATGAGAACTATTTACTAAATATTAAAATCAGGTTAATAGAGATGGATTAATAAAAAATTTAAGAATTTTATTGTTTTTGGTTGGTTCGGTTAACCAGTGATTTTAAACTTTAAACCATGATTGAACCGACTTCCATTATTCTGTTTAATAGAAAACCAAACCCATTGTCTATGTCAAATCGGCCCAAATCGACTTGGTTGGTCGGTTTTTTTATTTTTGTTTGCTTAGGCATATTTCTGGTTCCAAGAGAATTGAATTTAACGATGAACAAATGATTTTTATGATAATGAAACCAAATATTTTTTTGAAGATGTGGAACCGAATCATTCGATCTTGGTTTGATTTGATTTGGTTCTGGTTTCAATATTATTGAGAAAAAACAAAAAGAATATTTGAGGAAGAAAAATCGAAGGTTGAGGATTCAATTTTGAAAATTCATGCGATTGTGGTAGCTGAGAGCGATGGTAGACGACCTACAATAGTTGTTTATTTTCACGTGAGAGTCGATATATAAATTGAAAATGAGAGAAAATGAGAAATGAATTAAGATTCGAGTCTCCAAAATGAATTAGGAGTCTCTTGTCTCCGCATTAAAAAATGAGAAATCGAAGGTATATGACATTTGTATCCTATTTTCAATTAAATTTTGAATTATATATTGAGTTTCATTCTAGAACTAGAATTGAATCCAAATCAAAATCAAATGGTTCTCAATTTCAATAATCAGAGTCATTAATTTTTTTTATATAACCGAATCGAATCGAATCACTCAATTTGGTTTGGTTTGATTTGATTCAGTTATTTTGTCCACTCCTACTGAAAATAAAAGTATCTAGGATTCGTTTGGTATGATTTTTGAAAGGTCAAAATGAACTTTTGAGACTCAAAAAGTAACTTTTGGACTTGTTTGATTAATTTTATGAAATTACTTTTTTTAGTTAAAAAAGTTTTTAGAGGAATTTGGTCCAGAAATAACTTCTTCTGAAAGCACTTATGAAATAGAAAGTTCTTTCAAAAATTATTTTCAAAACAAAATTTAAGGTAATTTCCTTAAAAAATATTTTTACAGGAAACAAGAATCATGTCAAATCGAACCTTACTTTATTTGAAAGTATTACGGACTTATATTTCTACCAAGTTTAGACTGGCCAAGTATAGAAATTATTTAGGTCATGTTAAATTAGGCTCTGCAATATTATTGAGATTAAAATTTAAAAAATCCCATTTTTTTATCTTTTATTTTATATTTTTAGCATTTCATTAACACACATCAAAATGAAAGAAAAAGGTACAACCTAACCCTTTTGGCGTTTAAATACGTATCAAGTCTACCACATCAATATAAAGCAGTGTAACTTTACTCAATTATTTTGGGGGTCATAAAAGTCCAAAATTAGAGTTAAGTTGCTAAATGACCCTTATTTTCTTTTTTAAAACTATTTAAGGACTTCTATTGTTTCATAAATAAAATTAGAACATCTCGAAAATAATTGAATTTAGCTCTCCTGGAAAATAGCCTCGAAAATCTTCCCATTAATTACAAATTCATTTTTTTTTATTTTTTTATTTTTTTCCTAATCATGTATGATTTACAGTAATGTTTTAAACTCAGCTATTAAACGTCGAAAATCCTATAGCATGCACTGTGCTTTAAAAATTAATAGAGATTTTTCTAGTACCTCAGAATTAAGTGATTCTCGCGCTCAAGAAAAGATAGTTAATCAATGAACCCAATTTTAAAGTCAGCTATTAAATTAATATTGTTTTGAGTACATTCTAATATGTCTTTGATTGCTATTTATAGATTAATTTTTAATATTAAAACTATAAATTGTTGGTAACTTCTCAAGAGTTATTATAGCTCTGTACAATGATCGCAACTATCTGATAATTAACATAACTGTAATTTTTAAATATACTTTTCAATGAAATGTTAAAAAACTGGATTTTTCGATTTTAAACCCCAATTTTAGCATATATATGTAATTTGCCCTAGAAACAATAAAGTATTATCCATCAATTGAAGTGAAAAAAGCTCATTTTTAAGTAACTGAATCACAATGGGCCTTTATTTTGTTCAACCCATTGAACTATAATCTGTCAACAAACCAAACCCTAATTATTTCCAAGTTTTCCCTCTCCTTGCTCTCTCTTTATTCATCTCTTCTCTTTCTCTATTGTACAGATCGACATTGATCTATGGATAATGAATATGAAGTCCAATCACGTCCGTCATTGGCTTCTAATGGGAGAAGTACACTAACTATTGCAGCTCCGCTACCAATAATAATTTGCCTCCAATTTGGTAAAATATGATTTGTGGTATACCATTTCTAGAGGTAAAGCCATTTTTTTTTTCTTACCAATTACAATGTTGGGCAGAAGTAAGCCCCACTTGTCGCAGCCATCGTCTGTGAGAATATTCCAGCAATATTGTAGTCATAGTGGTAGATAAGTAGCTGCCAAAGAAGGAAACAGAGAACGGAAATTTATAACTTGATTTTGAAATAATGTTAGCGTGGAAAGTGAATTGGGTACGCCTTGTTCAAAGAACACCTATTTAATTACCGATTTCACTACCTGAATTTATTCAACATGATGGTGGATGTTGTTATAACTGCTATGGTGGTTTTGGGCCAATAGAATATTCCGTTGATCTTGACAGAGATTGTGTGACCAAACAAGTTGAGTTTGAGGCTACCAAAAACTATGTTGAGATGCACTTGAAAGGATTGTTGATGCATTTGAGGCAGGAATGGGGATTCCATTAAAGAAAGAAGGTGCTGAGGCTTACATTTATCAATCGTTTGATGAAATTAATCAAAAAAATAGCAGTAATAATCCCAATATGACTTTGAAGTTGATGGAATTTTAATCTTGACTGTATATTGATAAAAAGAATTAAAATACAATAGTGATTTTTTTTAATTTTACAGAAGAATCATATGCTCTATATATACAAAGATTGCAAAACTATTTTAAGAAGACAATATTGTTCTAGAGAAGCTAGCTAGAATTGTGGTCGTGAAATTGGTGACTGATGCAGGGCTTGATTCTTGTGATTGACTGACTGTTATACCGTTGAATGTCGCCTACTTATCTTTGTTATGATCTATTGCTTGATTTGTAACATGATCTCTGATACGTCCTTGCAAGATAGGGTTGCCATCCATAAGTCCAATCTTGGTTCTTAGTTGGTCCATTCGTTACTTTGACAATGGCTTTGTGAGAAGATCTGCAAGTCTATTGGAATATACTTCCTTCAGGAATGTTGAACAGGGTTAAGGCTGAGTTGTGTTGTACCCAAGTTGTCATAAAGCAATTTTGCTGGGGGAAAATGTTTAAGCTGAGTTCCTGAAACAACGACAATAACCAAATAGTTTCTAATGCTGCAATAGCAAGAGCTCTATACTCCGCTTCAATAGATGATCTTGCAATGGCCTGTTGTTTTTTTGAGCTCCAGGAGTTCGGATTTTGATCGAGAAAACATATATAGGCAGATGTGGAACTTCTATCATCATAGTTCTTAGCCCAATCACCATCGGCATAGGTGGTTATGGTTGAGCTTGAGCCTTTGCATATGTGAATGCCATGATAAATTGTTTGTTTCAAGTATCTTAGGAGTCCCTTTGTAGCTGACCAATGCGCAGTAGTGGGTTTATGCATAAATTGGAAAAGTTTGTTTACTGCAAAGGATATGTCTGTCGGTGTAAGAGAGAGGTACTGAAGTAGACCTATGACACTCCTATACTCAGTGCTGTCCATAGCTAAAGTGCCATCAATGAGTGGAAGAGTCATTGTTGTGGATAGTGGAGTGGACATTTCTTTTACACCGAGCATGTTTTCCTTTGCAAGAATGTCATGCATATATTTTTGCTGGGATAAGAAAAAACTCATTGCAGTAGGAATGACTTCCATGCCTAGAAAAAAATGAAGTTGCCTCATGTCCTTTAGAGAAAAAGAAGCTCCAAGTTTAGCAATTATTGGGAGATAAAAACTTTGTCACTTCCAGTAATAACCAAATCATCAATATAGACCAGCAGAAAGCATAAAATCGAGGTTGATTTGTAAATGAACAAGGAGCCATCCGCTTATGAATTGACAAAACCAAATTCTAAAATCTTTTCTTTTAGAGCTAAGTACCATTCCCTTGGAGCTTGTTTGAGACTGTAGATGGTCTTTTGTAACCTGCAGACGTGGTTAGGTTTTGATAAATCTTCGAAGCCCGATCGTTGAAGCATATACACTGTTTCATGCAATTTTCCATGCAAGAAAGCATTGCTGACATCTAGCTGTCCCAAGGTCCAGCCTTGCATCACAGCAATGGTCAAAACTATTCTAATGGTGGTTGGTTGTACAGCCGGATTGAAAGTTTCCATGTAATGTCATTGATTGAAACTTCTGGCACCAATCTTGCTTTAAAACGATCAACAGACCCATCAAATTTTCTTTTCACCCTGAATACCCATTTGCAACCCACTGGTTTGCAGTGAGGTGGTGGGGTAACTAATTTTCATGTGTTGTGTCTCATTAGAGTTGTGAGCTCATTAGACATGGCACTTCTCTATTTAGGATCACGGAGGGCGTGACTCACATAACTTGGCACAATGGTGGGTGGAATTGGGCGTTTGGCAACTGAGTGTAGTTGTTTTGGGTTATGAATATTGTTCATTGAATGGGTAGCATGGACTGGGTTCGGGTTGGTTCGCTTAGCTGCTGAATTTCCCACGGGTTCAGATGGGGTATCGAGATTGAGGAATTCTATTTGGGTTTGAGAGTGAATCTGTGCAGGTAGGTAAATAAGGAAATGAGAGATTGGGGAGAAAACCTGGAGGTGATGCGAAAATATGTATATGAGCCATT